AGCAAATTAACTCTATTAAGGGAAAAATTCTACCCAAACCTACCTGGCACAGCATTTTACAGTTTCAAGTACCTTTAATGATGTGTTCAACCAGGTGTTCACTTAAATAATCAGTTAAAATAAGAACAGAAAGATAGAAATATGTTACCCCTAAAACATCTTATTTTCCTAGTAAAAAGACATACAGCCTTGATAATAGTAGATTAGGACATAACTATTGCTGACTTTATGGCTCTTGTGTAGTTGTGTTTCTTAGCATGTTAGAAGTGCATGTCTTTAAATAAAACAATCCCAAAGGAACAAAAAAAAATTTTTAAACTGAAATTCAAGCGAGACAAATTTAAAACAGAAACTCAACATCAGTGACACACTTGGAACTTGTTCCTCACTGGCCTTCACACGATCCCTCCTCCTATCTATTTTTAATACCCTCAGTTAATAATAAATCAGCTGGCAGCTACAGTACACACACAGCACACGTGTAGAAGTGCGCCGGTGCCAGTGGGAAACTGAAAATGATACACCACAAAGGTACGGATAGCACCAGGTTTATGTTTACATCTTTTACTGGATCACTTGGCTGCAGCTGAAGACATGGTGTGTTGAGGCTGTCGGCAGGAGTGATAAACAGTCGCACTTGTATCACTTGTGAGAAAAAAAAGGCCTTTTTCACCTCAAGGTTTTATGCCAGAGATCAAAACAGGGTACCACATGCAGCCGGACGTATTTCTGGCCCCCAGTCGAGCACTCCAGGCAGCCGTACACGGTTTCCCGCCGTTGGTTGCCCATCCCGCAGAGTGCGCAGGGGCCCTTGGGGATGTTGTGTTTGAGGAGGTTGACCCTTGTATGTGAGCTTTCCCTCAAGTAAGCGGTGGAAATGTCCGTCATGCTGGCAGCCTTCTCGTAGTAGTCGGTCACCATGTCGTCCATGTAGGTGTCAGAGTGGGTGAGCTCTTCGAATGTTCGGTCATCTACACAGGGGTTGGATTAAAGTGGACTCAGTGTATCAGAAGGATGGGTCAGTTTATTTAATGAAAAATACTGTAATCATACCTGCTCTAAAGGGGTTTCCGTAGATGATCCCAGAGAGGAAGCGGCGTAGTCGCCCCATGGAGAAGCGACCAATGAAACCACCAAGCTGCTCCCTGATCTGCTCACGCTCAAAGCCTCCCTGTGACTCCGGAGCCACACAAATATCTGACACACAGGAAGAAGAAAACCAGGCGATGTGCGTTGTTTATTATTATTTTTGTAACAAATCAAAATTTCATTATTGACTTTGTATATCTCTAATAACAACTTAGTCTATGGAATTCTGGAGTAAGATTTGTTATGGTTTTGCTATGTTAAAAGTTTATTCTTGCTGCAGTATCAAACACTTCAAGAACTTTAGTAGTTGTAGTAAGGGGTGGCCAGTGTGGAGACTGAACCTGGTCTAAAAGTTCCTTCAATGCCTGGACATTAGCTTGGATGCTGTGTTCAATCACTCAAAAACGTTAAATTCTTGTTTAAAACACTTTATGACTTCATTCCAAGACTTCAAATGTGTGTTCACTAGCTGGTACTGAAGTGTCAGAGTCCCTCTGTGATTTTCACTACAGGAACACAAGGAGTCACGCAGCCTAACAGGTAAAGTATCTGCCATCCGACACTTTATCCATTAGATAAAGTCCCAGAAATCCAGATGAGATTACAGGAATTGCCCAGCTGAAATTCAGAATAATTTGTTTCTAGATGATTTCATGAAACGTGTTATCAAACCAATTCAGTAATTAACGGATGTTTTTACAACCACCATCGTCCCAAATTGATGACAAGCTTCAAACACCCAAATAAATGTCACGCAGGCTCACGATTATGGTTTCAAATCATTTTGAGTATTTCATTTTTGACTGTTTCTGACCATTTAGACTTATTTCATCACTTACACTTCACGTAGTTCTTCATACAGATTTTGTCACCTTACCTGTTGACTATAAGTTCACCTGCTTTCATAGTGACAGTTAGCCTGCAAGGCTTTAAAGACTAAAGCTAAAACTTCAAAGGGTCAGACACTTCAAAGCCATTTGAAGTGCTTCATCTCATAAACATGAATTAATTGGCTAATTAACGGTTGGCATGGTTTGCCCACCTACCAAGTCGTCCATCCAGTCGAACAAAGAGCTCACAGATGCTGAAGGCGATGGTGGTGTGAGCTGGGATGACAATGGCCTTGTCTCGACCTTTGGGGTTTCTGCCGTCGTCAATCTGAAACTGGAGCAAAGCAGGAAGCTGATAATTACACATGGAAAAGGCGGTTAAACGGAGAATTTGGGATTAGGTGAGGGAAAAATGATTGAGTTAGGGCTCGTTATTTTGAGTAAATGATTGGGAGATGGATTGTTCACTGCCCTTGACGCATTTGTTTTAAATATAAGTGTTATGAATTTAAGCATGGCCCCATTACATACATAGAGACATAAAGTTTATTTCTATAGCAGATTTTCAGAACAACTTCAGCTGATCAAAGTGCTGTACACATTATGCCAAATACACATTAACGATTTACAATCACTAATTAAACTATAAATACACATACATAAACAATAAAAGTCAATAAAACTTATTTAAATAAACAATAATTCAAGTAAATAAGACTATTTGTGCAGTAAAAGCCAGGATACTGAGCTCAACTAGAACTGGCAGTGAGTGAAAGTAAGGAGTTTTATTTAAGAATATTTAAAAATATCTGTGAAGGTTCTCAGTCATCCAGGTCATCGTAGTCTAAGGAGCTTGGAAAGAAAAGCATCTGGACTTCTCTAAGTTTCCTTAAAGATGTTTCAACTCTCATCTGAGAAGCTTTTTCAGTTCTAAGCAACTGGTGGAGAGTCCCAGATTTTCAGCCATATGGGAACGTCCCCAAGAGGGTCATGGACCCCCTAATGATCCTTTATCTAATTACATGAGCCGAGGTGGGTCACAATCAGCCAAGGTTTCGGGTGAACCCATTGTGAAGCCTAGCCCCACCCTATTATGTGACTTACTGAGGTCAAATGGCCCAGGATGTGAGTGGGCGTTAAGACACATTAAAAATGGTTGAGTAATTGGGCAGCTCTTGTGTGAAAGAGTAAATTGTTCCACAGAATGGAGACAGCCACTGAAAAATCTAGTTCTTGAGGCTGGATCTAGGAACATTCAAGAGCAGTTGGTTTCCAAACATCAAGAGTGTAGGGCTTTAAAGGTTAAGTCAAGTAGGCTGGCACCAAATCACTGAGACTCTTAAAGACAAGTTTAGGTATCCCAGTAAAGGTGTAAAAGCATGAACTACTCTTTCTTCATCTTACCAAGGAAGCTTAATTTAAAAAACTCATCAAACAGCTAAAAAAAAACTTATGAAAAGCCAGTAAACATTAATCTAATTCTAACCCTGGATGGGTCTTGGTCCTGGAGGGTGTTAAGATGAAACAACTACAGGTATTTTTACCCTCATGGTGGTCCCTCTCATGCCAGCATGCACGGTCAGAGAGCATTGACGCGTGGTGCGAATACTCTCCACGACAACACAGAGGACACTGCGTCCGCTCTCCTTTGACTGACGAATCAGGCAGTGATCCAGGTCCACCTTCCTGGAAGATCAAAAAATGAGAGCTTGAATTAAACATGAACTCATTAGCACCTGTTAAAGTCAAGCAAGGCAACATCTCTGGCTTGTATTGTCCACTTGCATGTAGCCCCTGTATGTATGTATGAAGGTGTAGAATAACATGATTGTTTATACAGGGAAACCCTCTTCTCACATTCTCCGTGTAACAAAGAGGTCGAAGGTCAGACAACTTATTGTGGACATAAGGAGAATACTTCAATGCAGATACCTGAAATATCCGATTTACAAAGTGCCATAATTTAAGAACTTTTCCTAGGGTATTTTATGCTTACTTTTCAAATTGATAAATAATTGAGTAAAGAAATATATACTTCTACTTGATTATTAATAAAGCACTACCTCAAAGTAACTTCATCTAATCTGTATTGAGAAACTATCATGATATTGATGCTTTAACATCCAGCACATGTAGATAAAAGCCCCTGCTGAGCTGCTGTTATACCCTGTCTGTCAATGCATATACCTGGAGTTGAGTTCACGCAATAACGTTGGCACCTCCAGCTCGTGTTTGGTCACAATGCCAAAGGAGGCTTTTACAGCCACTGAGTCTGACCCGCTGATGTTGAACCCCACATCATTGATGATGTGGTTCCCTAACCGACCATTGAGAGCTACATCAGATTTATCTTCGTAGTTGAGGAGTTGGTAAGAGGAAACCCCTGCAAAGGAAAACAATAGTTAACATTATGGTTAACTTATGCTTTTGTAAGCATTAACTGTAAGTAGGTCCGACTCCAGTCCCAACAGTAAAATGGTATCTGTTCATGCATAGATTAAATAATACTTATATAACATATAGCATATACTTTAACAATTAAAGTACATTTTAGAATATTTGTGGCAGCAGTGAAACTTTTTTATAGTGTTAAAATGTTTATTTAAGAAATTAACTGTTTTTTTTTCTTAGAATGAAGAAAATTAATCATGTCTCAAAAACTTGAAAACTATAAAAATGTTTTATGTCTCTACAAACTACACGAAGCCAGAGAACTCAAAGAACTATTTGTTATGACAAAAATTTTCAGAAGAGCGTCTCTGAATGTACAACATTCAACCTTGAAGCAGATGGGCAGCACCACATCGGTAGAGGAATTGCTTTATCAGTCAGATTAAGCTGGTGAATATATGCAGTTTTGATGTCCTGTTCACCACGGAAATAATCAAAGTTATGATTCTCTGCACATTACTTTTAAATTATTGTCTAACTACAGGGAAAGTATTAACAACATGGCTGCTACGTGCTGAAAAATGCTTTCAGAATGACTGGCAATAGGCTTAGATTAGCTTGTTAGCCTTTTTTGTCTGTTTTATTATTGCGTTAGATTGATAATACTCTGAAGAACTGTATAGTGATAAATAATAACAAGAAAACAGTTGGTTATCTATGTATGGATTAAAAGCTAGGAGCAAGGGGAGACAACTAGCCTAGCTAATAGTAAAGCTCCCAAATGAGCCATATTAGATGTTTTTTCTGCTTGCTAACTAGCTAGCTTGTTAAGCTCCTGGGCTCCTACTCCACAAACATAAACAGTGGTCACCTCAGAAACATAACAAGCTACCAGATTTGCTCATGTGGGTTGTAAATGATTAGAGAAAACAAAGTTCGCTTAACTTAAGATTTGTTGTGAAACCTAAAGATGACCATATTGCAAACATTACTTATTATAATTAAATAATATTAAGGCTAAAGATTATTAGAACCTACAGAAGTTCATTTGAAACTTTAGTGGAGGTAACAATGTTTTCAGATAGTAAATCAGATATGTTGGGTTTTATATTTATTTTTGTCCATGTATCCATATAACATTTTAATTGAGGTTTTACTGACATATAACCACTACAGACTACAGACATACTATGATCATTTTGCGTCGCACTTTTTCACTTGCAGCCAATTGCAGACAAGCATGAGAAAACTACCGGTGACCATGGCAATCTGCTAGCAACAAAGCAATGACTGCAAAGTTTTTGGTGGGTTGCGTGACTATAAAGGCTTTATGCTTGTTTTATGGTTGCGTGGTCTGTTTGCGGTGTTTGCCTACACAAAGCTTATAGATAAGCGTTTTCAGATTAGATTAGATAAAACGTTATTAATCCCTCGGGTGGGTTCCTCTGGGAAATTCAGCCTATGCAAATGTGTTCCCGTTCAGTCCTTAAGGCGTGTAGCTCATTGGTGCATAGGTTGCTTGGAATCAGCGAAAAAACATCAAAGATTTAAAAAATACTGTATGTAAATTAGAGACAGTGGCTGCAGTGGACAGCAGTCTTTATATATTCAACAAAATGCAGGAGCATGATACAATACTTAGAGTGGAATAAACTTATTTTTCCCCAATCTTAAACCTTTTAAAGGGAAAAGGCTCATGTTTCAACATAAAATTTAGCTATATTTACTCAGATATGAATTTTCTGACATTAATGTACCTGCTGTGATCTCTTTCTCGCCCACCAGGATGTCTTTCAGTGAGAAAGGTGTTGAGGCATACTTGTCCTTCTTCCAAAAATGCTTCCTCCTCTTTCTGGTAACCAGGCTGAGGGGCTGGTAGCGGTCAGCCTCACTCAGGCTCGGGACAGGGATCAACCTCCCTGTGTCTCCCACCTGCTTCACAAAGTTTTTGGTCGCTGCAGCAAACATTTCTAAAGATGCATAAATATCGAACCAGGTAAAAAAACCAGCTTGTACTCGACTGCTGGGCACCCTTTGCTTGTATTGATTATGGTGAGGAGTGCTCTCTCTCAATGGGGAAGCTGATTCGGGAGTGTTCTTACAAACTCGTGAAATGTTAAATAATGCAGGGAATTTGTAAGGGAATATGGGACAGTGAGGTGTGTGTTAACCTGATAGGTTGCTGTAGGCCTGCACCTTCCTGTCCCCTGACAAATAAGGTGGAAGAAGTAATTATAAGTGCCTGTTTTGTACTTTTTGCCATCTGTATTTGGAAAATTTGATTTTCAAGGCATACTTAAAGTATGGAAGTCTATTGCTATTAAGTATTAAAGGAATTATACAGATGGTATTGTTGCTAGCTACATGTTCCTCTTTGAGTCTAATACATGAAACATCTGCTATGGCCATTAGTCTATCTTCATTCAGCCTGAAAACGGTCTGGACTTTTTCTCTTTGTCAGGGATGCCTCTGTGGTTTTTGTAGGATTAAATGTTTTTGCATCTGAGCTTTTTTTAGTTTGGATAATGTCAACCTTTCTGACTGGTGGCTTCCACACACAGTGTGTCCTGCATGCATGATGGTGGGTTGATCTCTCCTGTGGTTGCACTGCTTTCTAGTCTATACAACCAGAAATAGTATGTTTGAAGGTTTAAAGCTTTCTTGCCACAGAAGCTAAAGACAGTGTTAGCTTTCTATGCATTACACTCCCTTTAATTTTTTAACTTTTAGGTCAAAAAAAGTCATGGATTTGCTTGTAAGTATTATTTTTGGGTTTAAAAAAAATCTTGCTGTAATTCACAGTTATATTGTTCTAAGTTGTAACCTCACCTTCTGTCACCAGTTTAGGCCATTTCATCAAGAAAACAAGACTCATTTTTGTACATAAAAATGTAGGTCTATGAGGTTAGGGTCGTATACCAGCTTTAACCATTGTGACAAATCACATTAATGAGAGTAAAACATGTACTGTTGACATGCTCAGTCTTCCCAGAGAAAATCAACAGGCAACAAGGTTGTTTGACAGTCTAACCCCCATGACCTGAAGTGAAAAGGATATCTTCTCTAACCATTAGTCCATCACAGCAGGGAAAAAAGTGCATGGATATACAGAACCTGAGCTCTCATTTGACAGAGGAACTGACTTCCCATCTGCCTGAGTTTTTGTCCCTGGTGGCTTCATGATGAGAAATCAGCGTGTTCTTCAAGCACCTGAAACACTTCCTGTCTTGTTCAGCAAAGGAAACAAGTGAAATCCACCTCACCCACTGAGAGAAATGTTACTTTAGGAAGACCCTGAACACTCAGCTGAAGCTAATATTACTCATGAAAACAAACATATTCTAGTGGAGACAATGACAGAGGAGTCATGGTGTTTGTTTTGCCATCCACCTCTGGGACATCACCTTGGGGACTGAGGATCAGCTTGACACAGTGACTTGGCAGACAGCTTTTATCTGGAAAACAGATTGAATGGATGTAACATGCGCACCGTATACCGCTCCAGCTGGAGTGCACAGATGTTGGACAGATATATCAGGTTGATAGCAAAGTTTCCAACAAATTCCATCTGGTACTAAACAAAGAGATAAGGATTTGTATAAACCGCTGTAAATGTAGTTTCATGTGGACACTAAATGTTCCCAAATTACACTGAAATCATCAGAAATCATCAGCTAGAGCAGCGGTCCCCAACCTTTTTTGCGCCACGGACCAATTTAATATCAGACTTTATTTTCAGGGATCAGCCTTTAAGGTGTCGCAGATAAATACAACAAAATAAAATGATACAAGAAAGACAAAAACTGTGGTGTTTTGTAAATATAACAATAAACACAAATTCACTGTGTAGTTGTGTTTAACTTTAACTTTATTAGCAGCGTCCTCCTTAAATGCGCCAACAACATTGAGAGCAACTTCTTCCTCTCTGCCCCTTAATGCTCTCTGGTTGCTATGGTAACACATAAATATTTCTTTCAAAATAAGACACACAAGTACAACTCGGGGAAAAGACCCAGGAAACCGAGTTAACGATAAAACCCCTGAAAACCTTAAATTCCACACCTGAGCCTCAACTCTTGTGACCCCTAGGCCACGGACCCAGGGGTTGGGGAGTCCGCTGAGCCGGATTATCCCTAATGGCGGATTATTATAATCTAGGAAAAATGCCAAAGATAACATAGTTTGACAGACATAAAATAGATTTTTTTCACCAATACATTGATTCTCAAAACGCTATTAGCTGAAAACTTAGCATAGCACGGTGGAGGCTGTGTCATGGTTTGCGTCAGCCAGTGGTGTTCTGTTCAGTGGAGATCTGTTAAAACTGATAATTTATGAACTCAGAAAAGTACAATGAGATTTTGATACAGCATCTGGAAAGTATCTAACTGGTAACAGCTTCATTTTTCAGCATTACAATGATCCCAAACACACTGTCAATGCAGTAAAATCATACCTGAATAGAAAAACACAGTAGAACACTATCGGTCATGGATTGGCCTCCCCAGAGCCCAGACCTCAAGATTATTGAAGCAAAAGGCAGTCAACTAGACTAATTCACTAAATGTAATTCAATTCAATTCAATTCAATTTTATTTATATAGCACCAAATCACAACAAAAGTCACCTCAAGGCGCTTTATATTGTACAGTAGATACAGAGAAAAGCCCAACAATCATATGACCCCCTATGAGCAAGCACTTTGGCGACAGTGGGAAGGAAAAACT